GCTGCCGGATGGCAGTCGGTACCCGGCCCGACTAGGCTGCTCAGGGGCGCACCCGCCCCCCGCCCCGCCCCCTACCTCCTCCAGGCTCCCCCCTCCCCGCCAGCCGCACCTCCACCCGTCTCCCCCTACTTCCTCTCCCGCCGGCGCGCGTCCCCTCGAAAGAACCGCTTCCCCGGGGACCTGGAGGCGCTCGGGAGGCGGAGTAGAGGGCTGGGGCCCGGGGGTGCACGCAGGTTGGGCAGGGCGCGGGGCGCCTCGGCCTCGGTCCTCCCCACCCCCGGAGCGCCCCGGGACTGCCGCCTGCCCTGGCTGGGAGCTTTGTTCTTTTTCTTTCAACTACCTGTCTGAGCAGCGGGCTGGAGGGGGCCCAAAGAAAGGGCTGCTGCTTCCGGAGGGGGCCCGCATCAGCTTCCGAGGGGGCACTCTCGGGGAAGAAAGAGGTAGCGCCCCTGTTTCTCTGCCTCCCTCCCTCCTCGCCTCCTCTCTTCTCTCTCCTCTTTTGTTGCCTCTACTCTTGGACACGACACAGCCTCTGCTGTTTCCCCCCTCCCACTTGGGAGTTTGCAGTGTGGACGCACAGCGAACACAGTAAGTTGTCCCTCAGCGAACTCGGCCAGCCGAGTGGGGCCACCCCCACCAAGCTGTGCGCACCGCGGGGCTGGTGGCAACCTCTGTCTGCTGTCCTCGAGCTCCAGGGAAGCCGGGTTTTGTGGCCGGCCTCCCTAGGACGGCGGCTCCCCCGGAGGCGGGCAGCTGGGGCTTATCGGGGATTAGAATCAACACCGGGGTTCTTCCTCACCAGCCCCTCCTGTGCCGACGCCGTGAGGTAATCAGCAAGCATTAAAAGGAAAACTGTAATTCTCCGGGAATCAGGGTTAGAATCAAAGAGGGGAGGTGGGGGTAGGGAGGCTGTCCAAAGTCCCTACGTCATTGTAAAAAAGCGAGAGGGAGAGAGAAATCCTGTTTCCTAGCTTATCCCTGCCCTTTCAACTGTAAAGTAGAAATGACAGGGAAAAGAGAATTTCAAAGTGGAATTTCCCCGTGGAGAATTGAGAAGAAAGTAAGAAAGATTTCAATTATCTATTGAAATGGGGCAGCCAGGAGTCAGGAAGAAAGAAATGGAAGAGTCAGTGAAGCAAGTGCTCTCTGAACTCTGGGGTCCAGACAAACATTTTAGTGGTAGTGGTGGGGCTGTTGTATATTCTGAGTTATTATGTTTAAGGGTGGGGTGGATGGAACCCACACAGGAGGGCTTTGCTGCCCAGGGTTCCAGTTATAAGGTTGTTCCTCAGGGTACCCAGCATTCACTTGTGTTTAAAGCTAGAGCTTGCACTTTGTAAAAAGAACAATAAAGACCAAACATTTACAGGTTTAAAGAAATAAATGTGGATAGTGATATGTGAGGTGAGTTTGGAGATGGAGGGGCGGATGGAGGAGGAATGTTTCCTCAAAGGAAACCCTGCACCTCCCTGTTTGAAAGGTGGCCTGTGTCACCCTTTGCAAGCAGATAACGAAGCTGGATGGTGATGGGGTTACTCAGAACCCACCTCCTTCCACCTTTGTGTCCCTGCTCAGATTCAAAATGTTAGAAAACAAGCCACAATAAAGGGAAACTTTTCAGTCCCACATCGGGTTTTCTTTCAGAGAGATCCCTGCAAAGGAGAAATAACTTGGTCTAGTTGTCATTTTAAAGGAGTTTTGTTTTGTTTTGTTTTGTTTTTGGCTCCGAGCATCTAGACTCCTTGAATCCCAATGATAATCTGGTGTTTTGCGTGAAGATTGAATCTGAGAACTCATTTCGTTACACAGCTGGCTGCTGAAGCCATGGGTGGTGGCTCCTACCCTTGTGGGCCTCCGTTGGCTGAGCTGTGTAGACAGGAATCATCCTCCAGAACTTCATTAGGACCTGAGGTGGATCAAGCCATTAATAGTTTCAAATTTCTGCATAAATTGTTGTCATCATTTGCACGGTTAAAACTCATTTGAAGGATTTGTGAAAGAATCCTTTTCTAGACAAACAGGTCTTGGGATATATTTTTCTTATATTGATGACTGCAATAAAATTTATGGTTTATTATTAAAAGGCTTCCTTCCAAGTTGAGTTCTTTGGAACTTTGAAATGTTTTCACCTGAGTGCTATCACCTTTGGGAATTTTCTTTGTTTTCAGCTCAGGGTATCGGAGGAAATCAGATCACATCTGTTTCCAGTGGACTCCTTTAGCCTGTCTGTGATAATATAATATCAACATACATTCCCACGGGGGTTCCAACTTCTGTAGTTATTTTTAAAGGACTCGTGATGCTCTTGGCCTTCTGGAGTTATTTTCTTTCTAATTTCACTGGCCTTTCACTTTGGATGATTTCTGAGATTATGGGACACCCCCTTTCATCCTACTGAGGACTGAAGGGCTAAGGCTACCAAATCATAATAACTCACCAGTGTCTCAAGAACTCGGAGCTGAGCACAGCATTCAGAACATGTCATAGGGGAGAGTCATGCAGGCCCAGGGTAAAAAGAAGAGGGGAAAGATTAGCTGAGTTTAGTTGGATTAAATTCTGACCTGAAAGCTTTCATCTGCTCTTTCTTAAAAACAACCTTTATGTAATTTATTCCATTTCATAAGTTATTCACAGTCCATTTACTTCCCTTGATCATGTCATCCACCTGTGCTCCCAGAGCCGTCCAGCAGGAGACCTGGTGGCCTGCCTGCTGCTCTGGGCCACTGATGCCCCTTTGCTCCCCAGGAATGTGCAGTGGGAAAGGGGTTTGCTTGTGGCAGCAGTGTAGCTGCTCTGACCTCTTCCCACACCCTGTTCTCACAGATTATTCAGGCAGTTCAGTGTCATGGGTTCAGGAACGAGTTTGTATCCTTCACAAAGCAGCTACTTAATTTAATTAAATAGATGATGTAATGTTCTCTGCCTCAGTTTCCCCATCTGTAACGGAAATAATGACACATGTCTACATCACGGCATTATTGTAAGTTTAGTTCATGTAAACTAATGCTTAGCACCTGGTAAACACTCAGTACACTTAGCTGTCATCCTTGTCAGGCCAGGCATCTTCTCCCAGCTTGTAAGCCTCACTCTCGCATTCTATTCTTACTCACCAGCATCTCCTGGAGAGGTATCTGCACTCCATTGTTCTGAAATGGAGTTTCAGGATCAGCTTTTGTGACTGAGTGATGCCTGTCCACAAGGCTCAGGCTCAGTGTTGCTCAAGACAGCCCGCTTCCCAGGGGAGAGAAAACACTTTTCCCCCATTGCTATTTTGCTCATTTTTCAATTCCCAGGGTCCCTTCATTTCAGTTTGTTTGAGAACCTAGATCGCATACTCAGGTCACTCTAGAGTCAAATTTGGAATTTGGGAAGACAAGACCAAGAAGACATCCTTCAGACTGGAAGTTTGAGGATTTCACAGAAAAGACTCTTGAGTTTATAGCATCTCTATAGCAGAAGAAGGAAACAGCTATCCTGAGGTTAAACACAGGGCACCAAATACCTCACTCCTTGTCTTTCCTTCTTTCCTTCGTGCGCCTACCAGTAAAAAACATGACAAACAAAAGCATGACCAAAGAAAACAGTAAACTCAGCCCTAGCCAATAAAATCTTACACGCACAGATGCTCAAAAACTCTGTTGTTTACCTGAAATTCATATTTCACTGGGCACTGTCTCCTACCTGCAAACCCACTGTTACATACCTTGGTAGCCTCACAATTTTTTCACGGCACAGGCAAGGGTAAAAGAGCTGATAAAACAGAAAATACGAGCTGCAACAGTGGGTTAAAGCCCCATTCATTTCTTTAGGAAGAGAACAGACAGGAAAAGAAAACACCTAGCAGAGCCTGGATGGAGCAAGAGAACTTAGAAAACTCAAGGACGGCATTTCCACACTTGCTGCTCTTGGCCTTCGGGTTTCTCAGTGAGAGATTACGTGGTTTGTGTTTCTAGCCCTTCCCTGTGGAACATAGCTGTGCCAGTGGGACAGATGCCTGCCTCTGCCTCCAGTCCCTGGAGTCCCACAAATGACCCCATGAGAGAAAGATCTCAGCATCACTTTCAAGAACTTCTGTTTGGAAACAAAGGGTAAAGTCATGCTGTGTCAAGGTTAAGAGCAAGCCCGTTCTTATGCATCTGAAAGGTATCAGAATTCAAGCCCAAATGCTTCCAACCACAGAGGAAAGGAAATGACAAAACTTCTGGGGAGCGTTCCTTCGAATACATCAGACAGGGGCCTCTACCTCCATTCCAGGCAAAGGGCCTGTGGCAAAGACAGC